GCAGAGGAGGTAAATTCATAACGGTGACATTTCAGAACTTAGACTTTCTTGGAGATTGTCAGCGTGAGGAGAGGGTAGGGGACGGGGACAGACCATGCTGGCAGCATCCTCAGCTGGGTGACAATGGTGGTGATAGCTGATGTATGGGGGCTTTCTGTGTGCCGGGCGCTGTGCTGAATGTTTATGATGCTAGCTCCTCATGTTCCTGAGGGGAAGGGGACCTTATGACGGTTCCCATTACAGGTGGAAACGGAAGCACAGAGAAGTTAAGTCACCTGCTCAAGGATGCACAGCTAGCACGAGTCACAGCTGGGATTTGCACCTGGGTCATCTGCCGCTCCAGACTTGACTCTTAACCACTGCCCTTTGGTTGGCTGAACTGATGCCACCCCAGCCCAGCCTGTGGTGCCGGGAACATGTGACCCCCCACCCCGGCTCTCTGCTGCTGCAGGGGTGAGTGGGGGGGATTCCCTGCAAGGATCAGAGATGGGCTGGTGCTGCCCCTGGGCTCACCTGGTGAAGGTCAGAACAGAGAACCCCAGGGTGGGAGCCCAGAGAGACACCAGGTCTAGCTGGGTCATCCCTGCCTTTAACCAGAAGCTCAGGCCTAGGGCTGGGCAGCGGCAGAGCCAGGCCTAGAAGCCAAGGTCGCCTAACTTTGAGGCAAATGTCTCCCACTTGCTCTGTAAATCTTTCTCTGAAGGGAGCAGAAAACTAAATTTGGATCCCGAGTTTATTCAGCGAGATGGTTTAGGGTAATAATTCAGAGGCTGGGCAGGGTTGGTCAGACATGGTTTCGCTTCCAGCTCACACTTAGTCATCGGTGAGCTGGCTCTATAGGGCCGAGCTCATCCCCCAGGCTGCTCCCAGCGGAGCCTTTTTTCGGGAATTGCCCTTGAGAGCCACTGCCTACCCCAAGGTCACGCCTCCCCAGAGGCAGCCCCCATCCAATGGCTGCTCAATGGGACACAAGAGCCTTTTGTCCTCTTGCATCAATTCAGGGTAACTGAAGGGCTGTCTCAGCTCCAGGGCCCCCAGGGGGACTGGCCGAGGCCCCACAGCCCAGCTCCCCTCTGCCTGTCCTCCTTCCTGTGCCCCTGCACAGGTGCCGTCCCCCCGACACCCCAAGAACCCTCCTGCACACAACTCTCCATCTCCTGGTCTGTGTCCCAGAGCCCAACCTATGGCAGACGCTTCCCTGCCTCTCCATATCTTAGTTTCTCATCCATAAAATGGGTGTATGCACACACCCACCCCAGGGTGTGCTGGAGGCAGGGGTGTGATGGTGTGACGTGCTCAGCTGGGTCCTGGCCCACGATAAAAGTGGGGTAAACATTCACCCAGATCCCTGACGGGTGATCCCCAGCTGAGGACCTCCCCGAGGAGCAATTCGCCTCCTTTCATCTGCAAAGTGGGGCCAATAAGCCTGTCTGCAATGTCCGTGTGTCTCTGGAGTTGGGGGCTTTGGGGCCTGGAGCAGGTACTCATCAGATGTCAGTTCTGGCCCTCTCTCTTCCCCTGGCATGAGTGCTCAGCGAGGGCGGAGGGAGGAGAGGTGGGCATCTCCTTATCTCGCTGGAGCCAGCCGACTGGCCAGCTCTTATCGCGGATTTGTGAGCTTGTAAACATGGCCGGCTATCACGCCATCTCGCTGGGGCCAGCGCACGCTCAGCTGGGCCTTGTCATCGGGTGATCTTGGCTTGGGATTGAGAGGAGGGCCAGGTTATCCTGGATGGGTGGCAGCTGAGTCCTCCGGGGAGGCTGGGGGGCGTCAGGGCTGGCGTGCTGGGGGCTGATGTGACATCGGAGTGGACGAAGCAGCGTGCAGGACTCCTCCTCCCTCTTTTCTTCCCTGCAGAGCGATTTCAGACTGTGAGGTGGTCCTGAGAGGCTCCAGGAACTAAAAAGGAAAAAGTTTTGGGGGAAAAAAAGAGAGTGGCATCAACCAGAGTGACCCCCTTCATTCACCCATTCTTTGTTAAGCACCTACTGTGTGCTCAGCTGGCTGGAGCGCTGGACTTAGAGGGAAGCTTCAGACTTTAGTTCTGCCTCTCAGGGTTTCTAGCTGTGTGACCTCGGGCCAGTCACTTGCCCTCTCTGAGCCTCATGTGTCCAGTGGGAATAAAAGCACCCATTTTACCAGATTATTATCAGGGTGCCCTGAGGCAGTGGATGTGAAAGACCTGCCTTATAAACTGTGAAGTCCTGTGCCCACAGGAAGGGTGTGACCCAAGGATAAGTTTGCATGTGGATTACACGCCCAGAGGAATGGCAGAGAGGGTGAGGGTCCCAGAAGCCAGGGCAGGATTCTGGGAGTGGGAGCAGGTTGTGCCAGGATTTGCTCTGGGGGGAAGGAGGGGTGAATAGAGGGTATTCCAGGCAAAGGGGATGACGTCCATAAGGCCGGCTGGGCAGGGGGCACTCGGGGCGGGCCCTCGCAGCGGGGTGCAAGCGGGTGGCCTGAGCAGTGCTGGCTCTGGCCGCCTTGCTGGTCGGGGAGGCCAGGCCCATCTGGCTCTGTTTTTCTCCTGTCGTTTGGATGCTTTTGTGCTGAATTCCCCGTTTGTCACTGTTTTCCTGTAATTCTCTTTTGAACTTGGCATGTGTTTGAGGCTCCATCCGGGCCCCACCTCCTGTGTTCCGATGCTCAGATCTGTGTGCATCCTGGGCATCTGATCTTAGGGCAGTGGGTGGTTCCGGCTCCCTCAGCGGGTCTCGGAGATGGAGCCGGGGATGCTGGGGCGAGGGCAGAAGGCCTTTGTTGAAGGTGCTGGCCCCGCCTGACCTGGGCGTGTGGCACCTGCCTCTTCTGAGAGTGGAGTGAGCAGCTTCCCCTGCCTCCCCGGGGCGCCGTGGGCTTCCCCTTCTCCATCGTATGCCTCTTCCTCCCCACCAGGCTTCAGGCAGCAGGAGAGCCCGGCCGTTCCGAGCCCTTGCTCTGGAGCCAACCAAGCCTGGGTTTGACCCTTGGCTCTGCCATTTCCCAGCTGGAAATCCTCAGCTCAGTCTCCAGGAGCCTGTTTTTCACCTTTGCGAAATGGGGCTAGTTCTACCCACCTGGAGCTCCTGCGAGGGTGCAGCGGGCTCGGGCTCTGCGGTGCTTCCCCGCCCGTGACGAGCACGTGGGGCGTGAGCGCAGCTCTGGGCCAGGCCACCGGAGGCTGCATCCTCGTTCTCCCAGGGCACGTTAGCTAACCTCTCTGTGCCTCCATCTTCTCATCCACAGGATGGGAACAAGACCTGCCTCGTAGAGTTGATGGGCGTCATCAGTGAGTTTGTGTGTCTATAAAGGGCCCAGAACTGAGCCTGACACCGTCAGCGCTGTACCGTGCTCTCAGCAGCAGCGTCACCCCCAGCATCGTCAGTGCCCAGGAGCATTGTCCTGTGGCTGCCCTGGGGCCGCAGAGAGGACAGAGGCTACCACCCGGTCAGCAGCGGGGCAGACTGAGGACCAGCGAGGTTCAGCATCCCAGCTAAGGTCGCACGGCCCAGTTAGGATTTGAATCCTAACTGTGTGTTGGGGGGATAGAAGACCCGGGTTCAAGTCTCCCCTTGCTAACAATAGTCTGTGTAGACTCCAGCTGGTTACATCTGGACGAAGTTCCATTCAAGTTCCATTTTTGTTTTCTTCTGCCAGAAAATGGAGATAATGCTCCTCCTGGAGCATTCATGAGACTTAAACAAGAAAATAAATGTGAACAATTTTTTAAAAACAAAGGGCAGTGAACTGATTCAATTCACATATTCAACACCTAGCTCCTGAGCACCTGCTGAGAGGGAAGCACTGCCCTGCACCCTGGTCCTCACGGAGCCTTCACTCAGGGGCAGGAGACACCCTGCCGGAGGAATGAACACTCTGGGTTCAAGGAGGGGCTGAGGGCTGTGTTGGGGGGACAGTGTGAGGGGGTGACATTTGACACGGCAGCTGAACGAAGAGGGGACAAGCCCGAGGACATATGGGGCGAGGGAGCAATGAACAGAGAGGAGCTCAGCATGAAGGTGGGGGGAGCGGGCTGGTTCACGGGACAGTGGGGGCGGGGCAGTGTGGCGTGAGCCGTGGTCGGGGGCCAGTCCCTGCAGGCCCCTGTGGCCCAGTGTCAGAGTCTGGAATCTGTTCTGAGGGAGATGGGAGCTGTGGGGTTTTGGATAGTGGAAGGATGTGATCTGGGGGGATGTTTGTCTGTTCCACTCAGGTAATATACAGATAGTAGACTACAATGGGACAAGCTGAGGGGAAGTGACTTTTCCCGTGTGTGTGTGTGTGTGTGTGTGTGTGTCCAGGGAGGGTGTTTGTGAGTGTGCACAGACGGTGCCGTGATTTAGAGGACATTCAGGCGTCAGAAAAGGATTGGATGAGTCAGTCTGAGATTCTTTTGACCCAGAGACTGTGGTTTTATGAAGAAACAGTCATGTGGCTTATTTTCCAAGTCCCCAGACCATGAGTGAATTTAAGATAATGGGAGGAATTTAGGATAAAGCTGATGTGAAAGATGCTGCAGCCAACAGGTCAGCAGGGGAAGCCTCTGGAATTCCCATTTCTGCAGAGCAGGAGGTCTCTGCTCCTGGTGGAGGGAAGAGAAAGGAGACACTTATATTGAATTAATAAAAAGCAATGAGGGCTAACGTGTTTTGAGCATTTACTGTGTGCAGGCTCCGTGCTAACCACTTTACATGAACTCCCTTTCTCGGCTGTTACACACACTGTATTAGTTTTCTAGGGCTGCCCTAACAAATTACCACAGCCTCGGTGGCAAAAAACAGCAAGATATTTATTCTCTCCCAGCTTCGAAGGCGAGAAGTCTGAAATCAAGGTGTCAGCAGGGCCATGCTCCCTCCAAAGGCTCCAGAGAAGAATCTTTCCTGCCTCTTGTAGCTTCTGGTTGTCAGCAACCCTTGGTGTACCTGGGCTTGTAGACGTGTCACTCCAAGCTCCGCTTCTGTCATCACCATGTGGCGTTCTCCCTGTGTGTGTCTCTCTCCTCTTCTTACAAGGACACCAGTCATGACTCATCTTAACCAATTACATCGTCAAAGACCTGATTTCCAAATAAGATCACATTCTGATGTTCTAGATAGACTGAATGTTGGGGGGACACTATTCAACCCAGTGTACCCACTCTTCTGAAGGGGCTAATAATGTCACCCCAATTTCACAGAACCTCCGGAAGGTTAAATAACCCCTCAAAGTCACACAGTTACAAGGTGGGAAATCTGGATTCGAACCCAAGAGCATCTTTGATGGAGGTTCACTCTGGTCCCACCCCGCCGGGCTGCCTCCCGTAGAGGGACTGGCGTTTCAGCCAGCAGAGGGGCGCAAGGCAGCTTGGGGTGCCTGGGGCTCCACAAATAGATCGGAGTGGCTGGAGTGTGCCGTGGTGGGAGATCGGCTGCGACAGAGTTGGAGTGAGGGTCAGAACAGGCTTGAGGGGCAGAGGAGCCCCTCCTTCCTCCTCCTTCTCCCCTTTCTGGACCCTTCTGAACCTACCACAGAGACCACCTTCCCTCTGAAGCCTCCCGGATTCCCTCACCCTGTGAGATGTGTCAGCGCTTGCCCTGAGCTGCCCCAGCCCTGTTGCTTGTGTCTCTCTGGAATGAATCCCATTCTCTGTGTACCTTATATTCCCTGATGGTGAGTCTCACTCACCTTGATGCTTGGTCTTGACCTTCTCCAGGCCAGTCTGGGTTCTCAGAGCCTGACACAGGGAGCGGCATGCGGCAGGTGCACGATGAAGTCATCCATTCCACACACAGTTATTGAGCACGATTGTGTGCTGGGAACTGAGGACAGAGCCTGGGAGGAGAGACTGTCTGGTGGGGACACAGACATGCAGACAGACTGGCCATGGGGCAAGTGCAGGCATCATAGGAGCCCAGTGGGCAGACTAGGGTGTGGGAGAGAGGCAGAGAAGGCTTCCCAGAGGAGGCGACGGCGAGCGTGACAGGTGAGGCAGTGCAGTGACGGGAAAGGAGAGGGAAGGTCACTGCAGCTGGAGTGACCAGCAGGTGAAAGCCCTTCAGGCAGGAGTGAGAGCTCAGAGCCTTCCGGAACTGCAAGTGGCTCCGCGAGCCTGGCGGGCGTGCCAGGGAGGAGGTGGGAAGGGGAGGTGCTGATAGCAAGTTTCTCCTGGGATGTCCCTTCTCTGGAGACAGACGTTGGGGTGGGAGGAGGCACTGAGGAGTGTTAAGCAGGAAAGCTTTTCCTGGTGGCAGGTGGAGTGAGGCTGGAGGCAGGGAGGCGGGGAGGAGGCCGTCCTGTGATCCGGGGCAAAGACGCCAGGGGGCTGATTGGACTCCGCGGTGGTAGGGGGAAGAGGGGAGAGATTCAGCTCTTACTAAATGCTCACTGGACCGAATTCTCTGTTGACCTGCTGGGCTGGCTTTGACCTCAACACAGGGAGGAAGGGCCATGTCTTGGACACATCCTGAGTGGTGTTCTAGGAGGGTCCTTCCTGCTGGGTGTGGGGAGAGGATGAGCAAGGGGAAGACAGAGAAACCATCTCTGTTGGCACACCGTAGCGATGGAGCTGGCCTGCTCATCCCTGAGTGGTTGGGTTCTCTCTCTTGCCCATAAGCCCCCAGAGGACTGGGGCCAGGGTGTCTGCAGAATCCAGGTGCACGCTGCATGGCCAGAGCTTAACAACCAGTACACTTAGATCCCAGCAAGAGAGCCCGGCGTCTGTCCTCACAGCCAAGGCTTAGCAGGGGCACCACCGGGTCCTGAAGGTGCCACCTGAAACAGCCCATGTCAGGGCTGATGTTTATTGTCAGCTCGCTGTTCACCAGATCCTGTCACAAGTGTTCTCTGCATTATCCCATCTAAGCCACATAACAGCCCCGTGAGGTGGGCACTCTTGTTGTACCCATTTGGCAGATGAAGAAACTGAGGCTCCTAGAGGGGAAGCAACTTGCCCAATGTCACACCCCTAGGAAGTGGCAGAGCTGGGACTTGAACACTTGTTGTCATGGTTCCCATTCCCCGGCCTGTGCCGCCACCCTGGGAAGATGCCATTTTCCCAGGACGCTGATCTCTCGGGAAGGTACCTTTCCACCCTGAGCTGCAGAGCCAGTGGGAAAGCCACCCCACGCCCCCGTCCAAGTGCGAGAAGGGAGACTGACGGGCCGGCTCCCTCTCTTTTCCTGGCTTCCCGGTACCAAGTATATATTTTTTCTAATCGGCCCGGCTGCTGATGGTTATCTGGCTTCATGAGAGAGCGAAAGAGACTTTGTGTCAAATGCTGAAAAATGACTTTTCAGGCAGCCTCTCTGTCTCCCGAAAGGAGTGACGTGCTCAGAGCATACAAATCACTCAGCACTCGGGCATCTTGATGTGAGGAAGGAGTGTGTTTAGATTGCTAAAACCGCTCCTGTCCCTTCCCAAGGTCATGGGCGGGCCGGCCTTGTGAGCGCCTGGAGGGCAGCGAGGCCTGGAGAGGAGAGGAGATGTGGCCCCGGGCAGCAAGCCTGGGGAGCTCTGGGCCCAGGAGGAGTCCCTCGGAGGCAGAAGGTGTGAGAGCCCAAGAGGAAGGCTGACCTGGGATTCCAGGTCTCTGTCATCCCACGGTAAGCTGTGTGACCTTGGACAAGTTATTTAACCTTTCTGGACCTTGGGCATCCCTCTTCATATATAGTCCCACAAACCCTGTCTTCAGCTACGCCATTCCTCCAGCCGAATGTTTTAATAACTGGATTTGCCTGATGCCGATGGACGCTCAGAGATGCCCAGGCAGTAGAATTGACTGAGAGGCCACTGGGGTAGGGGAAGAGGGTGGACTTTAAAGCATATCAGAGAGGGACTAGGACCCAGGCTCTGGACTGGGCAGCCTGCTTGGGTTCTGCCATTCAAGCTGTGTGACCTAGGGTATGTGGCTTGCCTGCTCTGAGCCTCAGTTTCCTCATCTATCAACTGGGGAAATAACCAAGACCAGCTCCTGAGGGGCTGCGGTGAAAGCAAAGGTCTTAGAACAATGCCTGGCACGTGTGTCCATCCTCGTCAGTGTCAGCCTTTTCACGGTGACTGCTGCTTAGTTGGGCTGACTGGGCACGGCTCCTGACCTCTCGCAGCCTCGGTCTCCTCATCTGTAAAAAGGGGTGAGGATTTAAAAACTCAAGTACTTAAAATGCTGGGCACATAGTAGGCTCTTAATCACTCATAGACCTTATTCTGGCTTTTTGCAGAAAGATAGTTTTTAGTAAAATTGCAGTTTTTAAGTGTAGCTGATGTTTTGCAATCCCTTGAAAATTTGTAACGAATTGCCTAACAGGATGTTTCTCAGTGTCAACAGTGGATTGACTAGAATGTCCCATTTTCCAAGTGGCCATGGTGGGGGTTCCCCAGAGGGGGGTCTCTTTACTAGAGTTGAGAGTCCCGTGGAGGTCAGGGCTCAGGGAGAACGCCCAGAGCAGAGAATGCCCAGGAGGTAGCACACACCCCCGTCTTGAACGCCAGCTCCAGTGCCCCTGGGGCAGGGGTCCTGCCTGCCTGCCCTTCTTCCTGGAATGCCAGGGTGGTCCCCGCCCTGCAGAGGGGAGTGGTCGGCTGCCAGAACAAGAACTGAGAGAGCTCGACCCAGGCTCCAGGCCTCGGGGGGTGGGGAGATATTCATCATTTGTCTCCCCATTTTTATTTTCCTCACTGTAAAACACAGAGAAACCACATAGCCAGGACTTTAAAACTATAGACCGTCTCCAGATGAGTTTGTGACGTTAGGCAAGGCCTGCCAGGAACTTTCCTCACACTGTAGCAAAACGAAAGGTCATCCTCAGCCGGGAAAAATTCTAACATTAGGGAGCAGGTCGGCAGTGTAAAGTGCCCGGGATCAAGAGAGAGCAGAGTATTGAAGAAAGGGCCCCAGACGTGGCGCCAGGCAGACACAGGCCTGGGCGTCACTTGAGAGCTGCTGACCCGAGGCCCATCACCTCCCTCCTGGCCCCACTTAACTCCTGGGGTGTTATGAGGATCTAATGAGATGATGGAGGTAAAAGGCTTTGCTGTTTGCAAAGAATTAGCATAAAACGACAACGGGAAGGCCTCTCCTCTCCCCCTCTACCCAGATGCCCACCAAAGGCAGGGGCATGTGACGGTGACAGGCCCCATGGGACACGGGAGAGTGGCTTGGTGGGGCTCTCGCTCAGTCCATTCTTCTGCCATCTGCCTGATCCCCCCTCCCTAGTGGGTCCCGGATGCTGTACCCCAGGTGTGGGGCCAGATGCAGGGCTGGTGGCCCAGGCAGGGACAGCAAGGGGACACTCAGGCAGGAGCATCTTGGAGAGGGCAGAAGCACGATCTCACGGGGCTGAGCAGAGAGGGAGCACCTGGCATGAGGCAGTGGCACACGTGGCAGAGAAGCAGACTGAGGCAATACCCAGCACAAGACGGACGGTCCTGGCATCGAGGAGAGGGCCCCCCAGCAGCCTCTCGGGGTGCCTGTCGCCTCAGCTGTGGGGAGGAAGGAGGCCTGGACCCAGTGTGGATGCTCCATGCCTCCATGCCTGTAAATGAGGCGAATACACTGGACTGAGGTTCTTATCAAGCAAACTTTTTTAATACACAACTTTGTGAGGCATCCCAATATGTCAAACAGATGGAAGGGGAGCTGTTCTGGTTGAAGAATGGGTTGGGGACCCTGCGCCCCATCTCTGAGGTGCCCCCAAGTTCAAATGCTGCCTCTGCCCTTTACTGGTTGGGTGATGTGTTTAAATTACTTGACCTCTCCAAGCCTCTGTTTCATCATCTGTAAAATGGGGATAATTTAGAACACGGTGAAGATTAAATAAGACAAAAGATGGGCCGGACGCAGAGTAAAACCTCCGCTGATGTCCCCATTACAACAATGACTATTATTGACTCCCCCACGCCCAGGCCACCCTCGGATCCCTCAGCTCTGCTGGGCACAGCTTGGGTACCACCCCTCAAAACATCTCCCAGAAGGCCCGTCACTTGAGGGCATCCTCTGACTCTGAAGTTCTCAACATCCCAGACCCAGTGACTCCGTGGGTCTCTTATTTGGCGATGCTGCCTTTGCGTGGTGTGGAA